CGTTATTGTTTCCGTTTCTTTCGGTTACGTTCATCCAGGGAAAATTGGCGACCGGCTTTGTGCGACCGTAATAATTACACAAACTTTCCATAGTCTGTTTAGTCGACGATGTATCATATAATGTTTATTCAATCATTCATTCAATATTTATACATATATTTATTCATTTATTCATTTATTTATTCGACACTGTGGTATATACATTTTATTCATTTAATGATGCTGCAAATAACTTATCGAAACCATAATGTACTTTATGTAAATTATTTATTCATTCATTTATTTAGTTACTCATTGATTTATTCACTTGTTTATTCAACGTTATATTATATGCAGTTTATTTATTCAATAAATGAATACGCACATAATTTATTCATTAAATGATACATACTTTTAAAAATTCCAGTGAAATGTGAATATGATTTTCATTCCAAATATGGCTCATCCTGTTAAATTTTTCTCCAACAAGAAATTACTTCATAGAGCCAACTACATATACACATATACATATACATGCTACATATATCCTTCCTCTAAAGTTACATTATTAATAATATATTACATCTCATACAGTAAGTTAGTAAGTTATCGATTCATAATCATATACAGTAACTGTAGTTATACAAAATAGTACTGCAGTTACTAAAAAGTAAATTCTTCATGCAGTACGTGTTCTTCCTCTGTGTGGAAAGTCGTAAGAGTAGTCTCGTGGGAGTATGAATGAAAAAAGAATTGATGTTAATATTCCAACTTCTTAACCAATATTACCAAGACGCTCATAGCGGGAATACGAAAGTAAGCACACTTGGGAAACAGTAGAATTGCAAATTCCCTTCCCAAGTTTCCTGGACGTCTGGCCAATGTAACACGTGTCATAATCTGCACAGTCTATTTTGCAAGTGACGTTGAAGCGGAACAAGATGTCCAACTTGTCTTTTGTCGAGCCCTGTGACTCTATGAGTTGTTCCTGTATATGCTTACCATCCTAAAATTGAACTCTCTCTAGATCGAATTTACAATGTGTCCATGCGAATAGTGTTGGCTGAGACTTTTCTTTATATTAATATAAAAAAAACCCTTTGCAAAGTTCAGCGAACTTTCTACTTAATACAGTAAATATCATTTTAAATGTAGCATATTGGCGTTTGTGAATTCAGCAAAAATTCTTTGCTAAATTTAGGCAATATTCTGGTTACATTAATAAATGGAAGTAAAACAATCATGAATCTCAAAAATGTTTTCAAAGCACATGGTCCAAATAACAAATAAATAACACCTTGTTTGAGACTCCGCTATTACAATTACTTAATTAAATGAAATTTGAAGCATGGATGCTTTTTCACAGACACTATTAAACCTTCCACACAGTTATTTTCCAAATCTACGGCAACCTTGACTTCGAATCGATCCAAACAAATCACGAGTCACCGAACGCTTCGCGGAACAAAATTTTACTGTCATGTTTATGTTCGTGGGCGCGTAAACAGTAAATCGAAGCCGAACGACCAAGGCCGGCGTTCGAGAAGTCACTTTTACTCGTCGACGATTTCTGCTACGTTCTTGTTGGAAAACAACGTCGAGTTACGCTGTTGGGCGCGTCAAATAACGTTCGATTTAATTAGTTCCCATTTATTCGATCTGTTCAGTGACTACATGTTCGATATCGATTTCCTGGTGTATGAAAACAATTTCATACCTTTATTTTTAGTAGCAAAATCAACGTTTCTCCTATGTAAAAGTCAGAATGAATTTTTGTTAATTTGTAGAATAGAGCTATAGTAACGAGTGTTAGGGTTGGCTGACCTAGGCGGTCACATTCTACTGATTAAAAGGTAACCGATATTTTGGATTGAATATTTCCATGCTTTGGGTTAATAGAATTATAATATTTTCTATCTAGATGCTTGGAATGATGGTTTTTGTTTAATTGTTGAGACACATGGGATGAATGTTCCAACTGGCTGACCTAATTTGTCACATTCTACTTAATGTGATGAATATGATTGATTCTCACATATTTCTTTTTATTCAACAATGTAAAGAATATGAAAATGAAATGTAATACAGATTAATGTACAAAAATAAATAATGTTACACAATCAGAATAATTAATAACACTTCTTTTGCTTTGAACGTGCTTTTTTCCATTGTGTAGTATCGAATATTTTTTCTACAATAATTCTAGTCTACACTAATTGTTTATACTCCATTTTAATATTGTTTACATTCCTCGTAATTGTTCATATGGAATTTAAATTAACAATTTTAATAGTTCCTATACAACGAACCTATAAACGCTCACATGTCGAAACCTTCATTAATAATGATACAACGATGATGTTGTTGACTTGGTATTGTTTCTGAATAATTAGCAAACTTAAAAATTTAACTATGTCGTCAGATATCACAATGAAAACTTTTTAACGTTTTAAAAATTTCTTGAAAATCCCAATTGTTGATTGACTTAAACATTCTACTGAATACTAATTAGTCGCCACTGCCCATTAAACATTCTCTCCTACTTGGCCTAATATAATTAATTTTCTCTCTGCGTAAACAAACGCCACTATAAATTGTTGTTTAACACGAAAGGAACGTGTAATAAATACAACCCTAACTAACCAACTTACGACATCCGTATTCTACTGACTAATAACCGACCACTATTCTACATTAATTATATTCCACGCTTCGGGTGATTTAATTAATGTGTTCCATGTGTAGACGCGTGACATGACGAATTCGTTCTAACCCGCGAGAGGTGTCTGACAAATATAAGCACTGTCCGAAGTAGACCGGCATATTCTACCAAAACAAGAAGTAAGAGTTGCTGCTGAATAATTAGCCGTCTACTTGTCCAGTGCGAAAAAATTCTTAGAATAATATGCATCTTGACTAATTTTCGAAATTTTATTTTCTTTAATTAAATAACTAATACATATTTAATGGATAAAAATCAATTTATAAAGGACAAAATATTTGGAAAGTCACGACAGAGGTATGATAAATATTTTGTTTACATATTACCAGACGGAAATAAAATCGGACTTGAAACTGTTCTCGGACAGGCATGATGCAACGCCCGAGTTAGGTCTGGGTTAAACGTATCAGTTGTCAGTTGCTTTTACGTAGCAACAATTTCTCGACTCCTTGATTTCGACTGTGATTATTTCAGCATGAATCACGCTCCGAAGATAGTAAGAACGAGTAACATTAATTATATAAAATGCCACTTTGCTTTAAAAAGTAGCGTAAGTTTAATTAAAATAAATATTGTGTCAGAGCTATGCTTAGTTAGAAGCTAAACAATTCACGCCCAAGGATATTGAATTTTACGAATTACTCATTTGAAATTCAACTGTCAAATGGAATTGCAAATGCGTCTATTTTGAAACTGGTGGAAGGCCATTTGCAACCGACGAAAACATGCTTTAATTTGGAGATTTCTAAATGTACGAATTTGCATATGTCTGAGAGCGCGAGAATCATATTTTTATTTTCGTTGTACACACGCACACATCTTGACACATTCTTATTCGCCTAATAAGAGCGAAATCACGATCGAAAACGTTGTATTGATCGAAAATATCAAGTTTCCGATGTCTATAATAAGTTTTCATAATCTTACATAGAGTGACTCACTGTAGTATTCACACTCCCTTAGCCGCTGACTTTAAACGGTTGCTTTATTTTTAGGATAAAATGTCATAGGATCCTTAACGATAAATACGTATGCACTATATTAAATGGGCTCTCAATTACCATTAACGATTGTGAATGATAACAATTCAATATCAACTTACTTTATTTAAAATGTCATTAGAGATAAATGTGAAACATAATATTGATTATAAAAATGGTGATTGTTAGACTCTGGATTTAATTCATATTTTATTGCACAATATAATATATTAATACATAAATGGATCACTATTTCATTTGATGAAACTGTATATATTCTACAATAGGATTAAGATACCTTTCTCACCCTTTAAGTACACCATGAATGAATAGAATTCACTGTGTATCAATTATTTTTCGTGTTCACTCTACGAGAGCAAATATTTTTAGAATTATTACGTCTTCGCACTTCGTAGTTCACTGAAGTTCCTGTCTTTACTTGTTTGGAACTGTCACTTCTCACAAAATTTACACAAATTTAAAGCTCAATTATTACACGGCATTTTCAATTATTATACGAAAATTTATCCTAAGAGAATATCAACAATCTCAAGTCACAAACTAAAGAAGTACGAATTCTTCTCTTAATCACGGACACAACACAAGAAAAATTAAAAGAACATCACTTTAAACAAAAAACAATACTACTTTCACAGTCACATCCCCGCACTTCCGCATGCTCCAATTACACGCGAATCAAATATTCCCCTCGACGCTATCACAACTCTTCAAGTCACCTTAACAGTTCTACATTTTCGTATCCACATCATCCCCAATCCCTACTCTTAACACTCAACAAGTCCAGTAGCATGATTCGTGGACTCGAAGAAGGACACAGGTTAGCACCCCGTCAGCTCACATTTAATACTCCGAAAGACCGGACTCATAATTGGCCAAGACAAGCGCTGCTCGGAAACGATCAGGTCAACTTTCCAAGAGCGACCAGTTAACCCAACATCTGTCATCGGAGCAACGTATCGCGCGTCGCCCCTCCGGCAACGATGTCGGACGATATTACGATCGATCACTGTCCAACACGCGATCGACAACAACCTTAATCGATCTCGACGACGGCCAGGACGCGTCGCGGCGCAAAAACCGCGGCCAGAAACCATCGCGCCACTGCGAACGCAAAGGTATTAAAAAAGAAGAAGGGGTCCAGGCCCGTGGAAAAACCAGGCAGTCCATAAATCGCGTAATTAGCGTGAATTCCCGCTGAAATCCGAGAACACCCGCGGGGAAAGGCGCGATTGCGCGTAAATCACGGTGCCGCGTCCCCGCGTTCATTTGGCGCGTAAAAACCCCCGCTATCGCATTACCTTGTCAACGAAATCGTCCTGTGTCCCGCCAACCAGCCGGAACAACAACTTCCTCACATTTTCAGCCCCTGGATGCGTTCGCGTTCCTCGCGGAGGACAACACAATCTCCGTTCACCAAATCGCACTTCACTCGGCGGGGCCAGAAAACAAATTTGGAGAAACTGATCCTCAGGCTCGAGCTGAGTGTTATATTCCGAACGTATCGGTTCTTCGATTAACTAGCTAATTGGTGGGCTCCTTTGGTATTAAGATTCGGAGGTGAGGGACTCCTGGACACTGAATAATCTAGGAGTAATTCTAGGTTTTTCTAGGCGATCTCTTTCGGGACTCTCTAGTATTTGGAGAAACTCCAGGATGGTGGTAAATCTTGCAGTACACTTGACGCTCCAGGAGTTCCAAGGGTGACGGGAGAACTCGATGTTTCTCTAGTTTTCTATCTTCCTGCGCGATCTCCTTAGCGGTTTTCTAGTACTCGGATGCGACGAACTCCGAAACACTGTACTCTTCTTCGCACTAGACACACCGGGAGTTCCAAGGATAACGGAAGAACTCTCCACTTTTCTGTCTTCCTATCTTCCTAGGCAATCTTTTTTGGTATCGTAACATTCGGATTTAATAAACCCCAGCACACCGACTTCTGTACACTGATCGCTCCAGGAGTTCCGAAGAACCCCGGAACAACTTCCCGTCCTTCTATCTTCCTATCTCCTGAAATACCAGTACACAAAACTCCAAATACTCTCAGGAGTTCCCGTGGAACACCGAAAGAACTCACCCCCTTTTCTTCCCCCTTATACCTTCTTATTCCGCTTTTTATTGACACCGCGCGCTAACGTGGCCCGTTATGGCGCCGCTGTCCGCGATCAGCGACGCAACGT